TAGCCCAGCGGGGTCTGGTAGTGGGCAGAGGTCGGGTACAGGGAGAAGTCACCCTTCTTCAGGCAGACATCCACGGGGGGCTGTGGCAGCGGCAGCGGGGGCGGAGGAGCGGCCGTGGTGGGGGCGGCCGGGATGGTGCCCGGGTAAGGGGGCGGGGGGTTCATCTTATTCACGGGGAGCTCTTGGGCACTGAAGACCACCGCATCTCCCTCGGCCGCCAGTGGCGGGGCTGGCCGCATGGCTTTGGCTGGCTTCTGCAGGTGCCCGTGGTCGCGGTCCCCGTGGTCCACCAGGGACAACTGCAGCACTGTGGGCGGTGGTGGGGGCAGGGACAGCGGAGGAGGGGGTGGGTTCTGGATCATTCGGCTCATCTCCACGCCCCCAAAGATCACTTGCCCAGGGCTGGAGTACCGGTTGGGGACTGGGTACGGGCTGGGCGTGTCGCCGGCGTGCTCCGCAGGCCCCGCGGCTGTGGTCTGGTTGGTCAGGACGTCCAGCTGCACGTTCTGATTGGCCAGCAGGGACTGCACTAGCCCAATGCTCTGAGTAGGGGACATGGCCTGCGCTGAGCTGTGGATCGGGGCGATGGGGATGTTCACCGTACAAGGTGGGTTGTTCTCAGGAACACCGGATGCTCCCGTCACTGGAAGGAAATGAGACAGACAAACCACTTACAAAATAGTGACTTACAGCTGGGTCATAACAAGCACTACATCTGCACTCCTCCGATCCTTCTGCACACAAAACGTGACCACTAGTCTGCGATGTGTTTGCCTGGGGAAAGCTGTTGGCACAAGTTGTAAAAAGCTTCTCTAGTATTTCTAGAGGGAGACACAAGCAATTTGGGGGGTGGGGGGTGGGCTGGAGTCCCTGGGTAGTACAAACTGCTAACACACTCAGCTGCTAACCAAAAGGTTGGAGGCTCGAGTCCACCCAGAAGCGGCTCTGAAGAGAGGCCTGGCGGTCTACTTCTGAAAAATCAGCCATTAGAAACCCTATGGAGCACAGTACT